GGAACCTTAAGTAGATTTATAAAGAGAGGACAGCCTTGTCTTGTGCATGATTTTAGTTTGAGTTTCTCTCCTTTTAATTTGATATTGTCTACTGGCTTGCTGTAGAGGTATGTTTCTTGTATCCCTAGTCTCTCCAGAATGTTTATTATGAAGGGGTGTTGAATTTTTTTCAAAGACTTTTTCAGTATCTAATGAGATGATCATGTAGGTTTTTTTTTTTTTCATTTTGCTTATATGGTGGATTACACTGACAGATTTTTTGTATGTTGAACCATCCCTGAATCTCTGGGGTGAAGCCTACTTTGTCATAGTGGATGATTTTTTTTTCATGTGACCTTGGAATCAGTTTGCCAGTTTTTTGTTAAGTCTTTTTGAATCACTGTTCATGAGAAGTTCCGTCTTTCCAATGACTCTACCTTGTGTCAAGTTGATGGAAAAAATACATAACAACAATAGTTTTTGTCAAGTTTATGAGGAAATACATACCAGCAACAATAATCCCAATTATCAAAACCTGCAAGGAGTCGGTGGTGATGCATGCCTTCAATCTCAGCACTTGGGATACAGAAGCAGGCAGATCTCTGAGTTCAAGGCCAGCCTGGTTTACACAGTGAGTTCCAGGACAGGCTACAGAGGAACCCTGACTTGAACCCCTCCCCCCTCAAAAAAAAAAACCTACAAGGAGGTATGCACATATTTTTAATTCCAGCAGAGATATAGTGATCTTTGTGAGTTCCAGACCAGCCTGATCTGAATATTGAGCTTTTGTCTCAAAATAAAATAAACCCAATAAGGAAATAATCATAACCCATTTTTTCATTAAAATTTATTTTAAACTTTATTATATTTTTAAATGTTGCAAATAAATTCTCCCAAAGATTGTGCAATTCAATGAACTTCTGTACTTTTAATGTAAAGTAGCCATTTGAAATGGAAACTTTGCAGCTTTAGTTTGGGTTTTATAGTTTCACTATTTTATACACCTACTACCACCAAGACCATAAATAATCCCTGACAAAAGTGAAAAACAGGTAACTTTATATCTTTGTGAGTGTGTGTTCATTGCCTGAACTCATTCCTTCTTCCTTTTAATGCCAGCCTGCCTTCTTTTCCTTTGTATGTTACTGTACCTACATCCTACATGTATGTGTATTTACACACACACACACACACACACACACACACACACACACACACACACACACACACAGAAGCCTTTTCCTTGCCAGCCACTTTGGTTTTTCCCCACCAGTCGCCTGGGCCCTGCCAAGTTGTAGTCCCCAAATAACTTACACGACGCTGTATTAATTATGAAGCTGTTGGCCTTGCTTGTTTCTTACTGGCTAGGTCTGACTTAAGTATTTAACCCATAATTGTTAATCTGAGTATTTCTCTTACCTGAGAAAAGTTTTTGGGCTTCTTACCCCTATGGCGGTTACATCTTGACTCCTTGTGTTTATCCTACCCAGAGTCCTCCTGGACTCCTAGTCCCACCTATCTTGCTTCCCTATTGGCCAACAGTGCTTTATTGATGTATACACAGGACTTCCCCATCACATACACACACACACACACACACACACACAGAGGCTACATTCTGCATATGAGACAGAACATGTTTTTTGTTTTCTTTCTGAGATTGTATGACCTCTGTTTATATTCTAAGCCCATCCATCTTCCAGCAAATTTTTTATCTTTTTTGTTTAGAGCTGAACAATATTCCACCTTATATTTACCAAATTTTCATTGTCCATTCATGTGTTGGTGGGCAGTGAGGTTGATTTCAATTTCTTGTTCTAGTGAATAAAGCAGCAATAAAAATGAGGGTGTAGATACTTCTATGAGAGAGTGTGCACAGAAATGAAATAGAAGGGTCATATGCTAATTCTGTTTTAAAGCTTTTGAGAAAAAATCTAAACTGATTTCCACAATATCTGTATTAATTTGCACCCCCACCAACAGTGGCTAAGGCTTCCAGTCCCTATACAGGCTCTCCAACATTTGTTGTCACATTAATAATGATAGCCATTCTAATTGGGTGAGGTGGTATCTGAAAAAAATTTTAATTTGTATTTCCCTGGTTCTTAGGACTATTGAACACTTTTAAAAATAGTTATTGACCATTTTTCATTTTTTAAAAGTGAATGTTCATTTATTATGTCCATTTATTAATTGGCAGTTGTGTTTCCTTAGTTTTTAATTTCCTGCAATTCTTTGTAAGTTCTGGATATTAGCCGCTTGTCTGCCATGTAGCTGGTAAAATTTTCTACCATTCTGTGGGCTGCCTGTTAACTCTACTGATGGTTTCTTTTGCTGTACAAGATCTTCTCATTTCCATGCAGCCCCGCCTGTTAATGCTTGAGGCTGGCCCCTGTGCTGTTGGTGCTCTGCTCAGAAACTTCTTGTCTGCGCTAAGAGTTTGAAAGGCATCCCTTGTATTTTCTTCTAGAAGCTGCAGTGTTTCAGGTTTTAAATTAAGGTCCTTGATCCATTTTGATTGATTTTTATACAAAGTGAAAGATAAGAACCTAATTTCAATCTTCTGCAGGTACAAATGCAGTTTGTCCAGCACTGTTTGCGGGATAGACTGTCTTTTTTCCCAGTGTATGTTTTTGCCTCCTTTCTCAAAGAGAAAGGGGACAGCTTTGCCATTTTATTTCTGGGTCCTCTGTTCTGTTCCATTGGTCTTCCTGTCTATTTTTCTGCCTGCACCAGGCTGTCTTTCTGACTCTAGCCCTGTAGTATAACTTGAGGTCCAGTATTGTGTTGTGACTCCTTGAGGTTGCTTTGGCTATTGGCGATCTTTTGTGTTACCATGTTAGTTCTTGTATTGTTTCTTGTGAACTGTGATAATGGAATTTTGACAAGTAAATCTGTGAAGTAATTTTAGTAGTATAAACATTTTTACAGTATTAATTCTGCCAACCCAGGATGGTGGAACATTTTCTATCATCTAGTGTCTTCTGTGATTCCCTTTCTTGGTGTCTTGAGTTTTTCATTGAGATCTTTTACTTCTTCAGTTAGGTATATTCCTAAACACTTAATTTTTGGGAAGTTATTATGAATGGAATGCCTTTCCTAATTTCTTTCTCTGAGAATACACTGTTGTGTTTAGATTTCTTTTTTTTACATGCTAGCAGTATTTATTGTTATTCATAAGTGATCAAAAGACATACAAGGCTCATAATCATATGTATGAAATATCACTTGGTGACAGAGTGAAAGAGACAGATATGCATTTATATTTAAAAAATACACACATGCACTCTCTCAAGTGTGTGCCACATGGTGTTATGAAGGTGAGGTGTCAGGTTATACAAGTTCTGATATACATAACACATTAAAGAATCAAGCATAAAAACCATACTCAAAGTTGCAAAAATAAAGTTTCCTTTTCTTCAAGCATTTTGATCTGGGCTCAAGCAAAGCAACACCGATGATTTTTATAGGATTCTACACACGCTGAAGCTATCAGTATACAAAAGTAAACAAATAAAACAAAACAACAACAAAAAAGAAAGTCATAGGAATGGACAGTGCATTTCTTTTTTTTTCTTTTTTTTAGTGTCTTTTTTAAATTATTTTAATTATAAATAGTTTGTTTTACATGTCAATCCCAGTTCCCTCTCCCTCCCCTCCTCCCGCACCCTCTCACCATCCCTGCCAGCCTCCCACCCTATCGCCATTTCCTTCAACATAGGGAATATTTCACTCAGGGTAGGGTCCAGGCACTCCCCTAAGAGTCCAGGCTGAGAGAGCATCCCTCTTTGTGTTATGGACACACGAAGTCCATTTGTATGCTAGGGATAAACACTGATCCACTGCCCAGGGCCCCATAGGTTGCCCCGGCCTCCTCACTGACTCTCACATTCAGGGGGTCTGGATCAGTCGCATGCTGGCCTCCCAGCTTGGACAGTGCATTTCATCCAAGGTCTAACAGTCTATTTCATCCCAGCTCTAGGACATTAGGAATCATTTACATAACTTCAACAGCAAGGTAAGCCAGGAAAAAAAAAAAGATCAACAGAAAGTCAAGACTGCAAACAAGGCATGGCTGCCCCCGGTCTGTCCTACGTTCCCCTAGTGCAACAGCATCATTTCCCTGAAAGTTCATGAGTCACAATTAAGGAATACTCATAGAAAACTATTTCCTTTATTCTTGAAAAAGTGCCACACACTATACTTTTCATTTAAAAAATAAACAACACATAAACTAATGTCTCCATCTCTTGTCAATGAGGAAAAGCCAGAGTGACTCTTTGATTCCAATTCGGAATGGCGTCTCCTGGCCAATGCCCAGAGTCTCCAATTTGGAGCAGTCGAGCTGAGCATATTTGGGGCGTTGTCAGTAATAGGTCTTAAGTGACTGCTCGGCAGGTTGAAGGCCTCTGCAATCGCACACGCCATTTTGTTTTTGGTCATCTGCTCATTGCCAGTCTAGTGAATGATCCCCTTAATGGATGGATCCAGCATCGTCTTCTCTGCCAGCTGCCGGCACACACCGGCTACATCCTTCACGTGTGTGGGAACCTCTGCTGCCAGTGGTCCATGATTGCTGACTTGTTGCTGAACTGCACCTTGTCAAACATGACAGTCATAGCACTTTCTTCAAGCTTCTCAACTTCCCCATACAGAACTGGAATTCTCAAAACAGCAGGCCTAAATTATTCTCCAGGACTGCCTTTTCTCCATCTAATTTTGTTTTGCCATAAAGGTTCAGGGGACTTGGTGTATCTTCGTCTGTGTAAGGGGGTTTGTCCCATCAAACATATAATCTGAGCTAATGTAGATGAGAAATGGTCCAGTTGAAGCTGTCTCCTCTGCTAAATTCTCAGAGGCACCCACATTCAGCTGGGAAGCAGCATCTGGCTGACTCTCAACAACATCTGGTCTTCACTACACAGTGCACTATGACGTGAGGCTGAAAATCATGGATGAGGCGATGAACTGCTTCAGAATCCAACAGGTTCACTTGTTCAAATTTTGGTCTTGTTTTTCAGAAGCCACAGCCAACAGTGTGCCAGTTACTTTGCTGAAATTCTTTGCAAAAAGCTCTGCCAAGAAGCCCTGTGTCACCGGTAACTAGAACATGCCTGCTAGGGATGTTTACTTCCTCCTCTACCAGCCAGCAGCTGCGGGGAAGGAAGTGGATAGAGAGCTCTTTCTCCTGGTCCACCATGCGAGCCGTCTTTGCGTTGCGACCACAGCCCACTCCTGCAACAGCATAGCTGGGGGCCACAGCACCCGCACCCTTGGCCCTCCTCCCCTAGGCCCTGGCCTGGACTTCTTTAATATTCATTTACTTAGTATGTGTATGTGTGCCGATATGTGCGTGCGTGCGTGCGTGCGTGCGTGTGTGTGTGTGTGTGTGTGTGTGTGTGTGTGTGTGTGTGTGTGTGTGTGTCAGTCAGGACAGCCAGTATAGTCTGTTCTCTACTTCCACTGTGTAGCTCCCAGTAATCTAACTGAAGTTATTAGGCTCAGCAGCAAGTGCCTTTACCCACTGAACCAGCTAACTAGTTCATAGTCAGCTAAATTGCATAATACTATTTACTTAAATTTTTTGTTTTGTTTTATTTTTGCTTTTTCGAGACAGGGTTTCTCTGTGGCTTTGGAGGCTGTCCTGGAACTAGCTCTTGTAGACCAGGCTGGTCTCGAACTCACAGAGATCTGCCTGCCTCTGCCTCCTGAGTGCTGGGATTAAAGGTGTGCACCACCACCACCTGGCTATTTACTTAAAATTTATTTTGCTTTTGACATTTATTTTATGTGTGTATTTCAGTGTGTGCCCGTGTGAATTTATGACTCGCTCACATTTGTTGGTACTGAAAAAGGCCAGAACAGGGGATTGGATCTCTGGAACTGGACTTACAGGTGCTTGTGAGAAACCCAGTCTGGGTGCTGAAAAGTGAGCTCTGGGCTCCTGAAAGAGCAGTAGGCATTCTGAACTGCTGAGCCATCCCGAAGCCTGGACATGGGTTTTGAAGATCAGATTCTTGGCCTAGTCAGGGAGTGGTGAGGACCTTCCCATTTTTAGCAAGTTTGTTTGAATGATCTGTGCATCCAGAAATTTTATGAGTGTAGAATTGAAGCATGCTTACATTTGAAGTCTTATTGTGGTACTAAGTGAAATTTGTAGGCATTTCAGACGGATCGGGTGGGACAGGTATTCTGACACTCAGGAGTCACAGAATGCTAAGTGTTAAGCTCAGATGGAAAGGTATCCTGGAGCTACCACAGGCCTCAGTAAGCATAGCAGCTTACAGCCCTGCCTGGGGAAGGCTTCCCCAGTGTATCGGCTCTGCTCTGGCAGGAGAGGGTCTTCCAGCTGGGGATGCTTGCCCTGTGTAGCAGTTTTGCTCCTGCAGGGGAGAGTTTCCCTGGCGAAGTTGCTACAGTTTAGCTGTGCTCCTGAGAGAGTGTGGAGAGCTGAGTGTAACAACTCGGCTCTGCCAGGGGAAGGTTTTCCAGGCAAGTGTTACAGCCCTGCTCACTCCCCTCTGCCCAGGGTCATCTCTGCTAGGCCGTATAAGAAGGTCTTCACCCAAAGCTCATCCAAGAGGTTTATTGGGAGGGAAGAATCCAGGAGAGTGGGTAGCACGAACAACCACAAGCTGAACAGACACAGGGTATATATAAGGCTTCCAGGATGGGATTGGTCAGATTTCAATGCTGAGCTCAGATTAGCGAGAGCTTCTGCTCGAGGATTGGTTAATTTTCTGCACAGGATTAGGGTCAGATTTGGCTCTGGTTTCAGGGCTAAAGTGTGTTTCTTTCTCTGGTCCTTTTTAGCCTTTTGGCTCTAGTTTTAGAGCCAGGGTGCATTTCCTTCACTGACTCTGATTCCAGGGACAAAGTGTTTTTTTTTTTTTTTGTTTTGTTTTGTTTTTTGGCACTGGTTTCAGGGTCAGGGTGCATTTCTTTGGTTCTGGTTGCAGGGCCAAAGGGTGTTTCTTTGGCTATGCTCGGGGTGTGTTCCTTTGGCTGGACCTTTTTCCCTACAGAATTTACATATGTGTATTACTTGCTTAAAACACTTGTATATATTTACTAAAAGTTGAGACCCTGCCAGGTACAGAGTCCTTACTCTGAGCTGGCTAGTACCCTTAAGCAGACCCTTTCCCACATCTTGTAGCATGCTGTGTGAGGATGGCTTGCATCTGATGACCTTTAACTTTTTGATTAATTGATAGCAATCCCACTGTATTTGGCACTGGTGGGGAAGAGAAGGATGAAACAAGCTTCTTGATGTTAATAATTGATGTCAGCGCTGGAGAGACAGCTCGGTGATAGGAACGCTCGTTGCTTTTGCTGAGGACCTGAGTTCAATTCCTAGCACTCACATTGTGGCTTACAACTCTAGTGTCAGGGGATCTGACATCCTCTTCTAGATTCTTAAGGGCACCAGGAATGCATGTGGTGCGCATACATACATGTAGACAAAACATTCATAAGCATAAAATAGTAAATCTAAGAAGAATTTTAAATTGATGCCTGTCTTGACCCAAAGTGTTTGGGGGTATCATACAATTATTTAGGCTTTTTCATTGTACATTACAATACATTATGAATTAGCTGCTCATGAAGCTGGTGCAAAAGTGGAACATTATTTTGGAAATATATTGAACCTTAATATGCAGATAGTACTTCTTAGGGTTACTCTAATAATGATCAGCAGTATGTATCTCAGCATGTATGCAGGTGGCCTAGAGTATGAGCAGTGGAAGATGCTGGGATAGCTTAGAGGTCATAGGAATTGTCCTTCCCTGATACTGAGACTGTTCTCATGTGCAGGGATAGTGTTAGCATGTGGAGAAGTATTTCACTGGGACAGCAGGCTGTTAGTTTACTTTACAGAATGGGTAAGAGGTGGAGAAAATAGCAGCATGCTAGGCAGGGTGGGTGAGAGAGACCACAGCAGCTAGACATTGGGGTTATAAAAAGAATTACAATATTGGAAATATCGGTGGAGTTACATTATGGATCTGATGAAATTTAGGAAGAATAGGCTTCCTGGAAGTTTTTCTCATGCGAACAGACATTTTTTTTGTCTTCAGACAAGGCTTAGTTTAGCATAGACTGGGCTGGTGAGGACCACAGGCGTGCACAACCACCCCAGGTCTTGCTTGGTGCACGCCACCAACTGAGCTCATCTGCAGCCCCAAACAAATGTTATGAAGGGCAGGAGAGGTAAAATATATTGGAGGGGGCAAGTGTAATTGTGTTAGTTATCTTTTGAAATTGGATTAAGATCATAGGACATAGGGACAGGGCTGTCCTTCAGGCGAATGATAGACTACTGGGCTTGAAAGGGTAACAGAAGTACAGTTTCTATCTTGATATGGCTCTCATTACATATGACTTGAATGTTTAATATTACAGACGCACGCGCGTGTACACACACACACACACACTGAATAGATCAAGCTTGTCTCTGCTCTTCTTCCTCAGCTTCTCTAGTGTAGATATTAGAGGGGTATACCACCACTCCTGGGGTTTGTCCTTTTGTTTTCTCTCTCTGTTGGAGACCAGGCTGGCCTCATACGTAGAGAAATCTGCCTGCCTCTCCCTCCTAAGTGCTGGAATTAAAGGTGTACCACCCCCACCCCACCTTTTCTTTAGGTGAAGTATTTTGGAGTTCATTTTCTGTCTACGAAGTCTTTTCATTGTAAGTCATTGTAGTCAGTTCTTGTAAGCGTCTGACTAATGCTGTTTATTTTATCTCCAGTTTGGCTTTGGTTGAAGACAGAACTTAGCATATATGTACTGCTTTACCCACTGGAAGAATGACAGATGACAAAGATGTGCTTCGAGATGTCTGGTTTGGACGAATTCCAACTTGCTTTACACTGTATCAGGATGAGATAACTGAAAGGGAAGCAGAGCCATACTATGTAAGTACGTTGGTTGTTGAAATGGCTCTTTAACTTGTCTGTTGTAAATGCGGTTGTTAGAGCCTGAAGGCTGTCACTCAGCCAGCATTTTATATGCAACGGTCCCATGCCATGGGAAAAGTTAGAAGACTGGGTGATCACTAGTAATCAAATGCTTAGTGGCAAGTGTCAGGCGTAAATCCGACTCTCTCGGACTCTCCTAGAAACTGTAGTGTCAGCTCTGGGGAGGCAGAGACAAATAGTCCCTAGGGCTTGCTGGCCAGCCAGGCTAGCCAAACCAGTGTTTCAGATGGAGAGTGTCTGTAAAAATGGCTCATTGCTGTAGAACAGTTGTAGAGGGCCCTGGTTCTACTCTTAAAACCCACATGATGGCTCAACCATCTGTAACTTGGGCTCCAGCGGCTCCGACCCCCTCCTCTGGCCTTGGACGCCAGGCGTTCTTGTCCTAGACATACATACATGCATGCAAAGCACTCATGCACATAAAAGGAATCTTAAAAAAGCAATGTGAGGAGTGATGGAAGAAGATAGCTGACATTGACCATTGGTTTCCACCTGTGTGCACAGGAGCCAGTCATAGCGTGAATAAATAAATACAAATAAATAGGGGCTGGAGAGACAGCGAGTAAGTGCACATGCGCCTCTTGCGAGGAGCCACATTGGCAGCCACAATGCCTGTAATTCTAGCTGCAGAAGGAACTGATGGCTCTGCCCTTCACAGGTACCTGCACAGACATAGACATAGATGCACGCACATAATTACTAATTAAAATAACCAGTCTTTAATTAATACCCTCTAATCATGCTACCCCCCCCCACACACACGAGTCACTGCAGACAGTCTGATACACGTTCTTTTGTGTGTGTATGTATTCATCTATATTATTAGAGTCAGGCTAGGACTGTATCGATGATTGAGCAAAGGCTTAGGATGTCAGTACCTAACACACACATAACAGTGGAATCATAAGTTATGTGCTGTGTTTTAGTAGGAAGCTATTTTTAATAATAGGTTCAGGTTGGACTTTTTAAGCTTTATTTATTTTTTATGTTTGGGTGTTTTCCCTCCTGTACTATGTGATTGCAGTACCTGAGGAAGCCACTAGAGGATGCCTTAACTTTCTGGAACTGCAGTTACAGACACTTGTGATCTGTCATGTGGGGCTGGGAACTGAACCCACATCCTCTGCTCTCAACCACATATTGGATTTTTTAAAAGTATTTAGATGGTTCCAAGCAACTAATCAGACAAATATGTTTATAGTTGCATGAACTTACGAATGCACATGCACAAATCTACATATATTCATTGATCTAAATGTTACATATGACCTAATGATGTAATGTATGATCATAATATAGTATGACCTGGCGTGTTTAATAAAATATAGGGGCTTAGAGTGAAGCAGAGTGGTATAATATCTTCTTAACATTTAGTGGCACTGCCATGGATTCAGTCCCCAGCTTCCAAATACCATATATATACACATATACAAGCATACACATACATACACACCAACCTCAGTCTCCTGAATTTTGGGATTAAAAGCATGTGCTACCACATTCAGTCTACATTCTTTGTTTTAAAAACAAATTTCAAGGTTCTTTTGGTTTTACTGTGCTTTTCTTTATCCATATTTATGTGTCTATCAATCGAGTGGTATTCTTCCTGTTTATCCAGTAGCCCCCAGAGGCAAAGTGAGTTGTTTTATAGCTGTTTCTAATAAAGTTGACAGTGACAAAATAATGGTGACACACATACATACCACAGACACCCCTCCACAGACACACCACAGATACACACACTGCAGACATACATGCATGCCCACAAACACACACACATCAGTCAATGTGCCGGTAAGATGGGTCAGCAGTTAAGAGTGCTTGCTGCTTTTCCAGAGGACCTCACTTCCATTTCTGGCACACATCAGATTGGACAACCACGTGACTCCAGCTCCCAGGAGTTCTACACCCTCTTCTAGCCTCTGGACACATGCACACGGATGACACTCACACATAAATACAAATAAAATGGTTAGTGTCTGTGTGATTGAATTCGTAATGATTTGCTTTGGCCTCACCAGTGCTGGGAATAAAGATGTATATATTCTTCACCACCATGCCCAGTGCTGGAATTTCTTTTTCTAAATTTTTATTTCATTTTATTTTGTGTGTCTGAGTGTATATGTGTGTGTCACTTGCATACAGGAAGCCTTGTAGGTTGGGAAATGGTGTCTTATACCCTGAAACACACAGTTGTGAGCCACCATGTAGGTGTTGGGAACCAAATCCAGGTCTGCAAGATCAATAAAGCACTCTTAACCTCTGGGCTGTTCTCTACTCCTTGGGGAAAAAAATTCTGTTGGCCTAGAGCATGCTGTGTAGCAGAGGGTGATGACTTCATGCAGCCTCTTGGTCCGTTTTCACTCACCTCCCAAGTTTTAGACCTGAGCCCCAACACCAGATGCTTTCCTTATTTCTCTCTCTCCTTCTCTTCTCTTCCCCTCTTCCTCTTTTTGGAGATAAGGTCTCACTGTAAAGTCTCAGGCTGGCTCTGACCTCAAAGAGATCCTCCTGAGTGCTAGGACTAAAGTTGAGTACCACCATGCCTGGCCCCTTTGTGAATTCTTGAGCCTGTTTGAGCCTTAGATGATCGTGTGTGCTCTCCAGAATCAGCAGCTGAGACCCTTGCTCTCTAGTTGTGTCTGTCTTCCTTCTTGCCATTTCTGTAGGTTAATACTGTTTTCTGTAGAATGAACTGTTACTGTGTGTAACAGTAGGTATTTTAAAAATCCCGTTCCCTCCCTCTCACTCTCTCTGTCTCTGTCTCTCTCCTGGATCTTGCTGTGTAGATCAGGAAGGCCTCAAACTCAGATATCCTCCTGTCTCTGCCTCCTGAATACTGGAACTAAAGGTGTACATCTGGTCCTCCAAAATTCTAATTTCCTTTTGGTGAAATAAAACTAAGGAAGAAAGGGTTTGTTTTTAAATAAATAATTTATAATTATTTATTTAATTTCAGGTTATAGTCTGTTATTGTTGGGAAGTCAAGGCATCGGGAAGATGAAGCGTGTGCTTGCACCATATCCACAGTCAAGACAGACAGACACGAATGCACGCATGCTCACTGTCACTTCCCCTTCCCCACTCTTAAGATAGTCCAGAGCCTAAACCCAGGGAATGGTGTCTCCCACAGTGAGCTGTGTTGTCCCACACTGGTTCACATCAAAGCAAAAATCACACATAACCTTACCACAGACCAACTGTGTAGACAGTGCCACATTGACACTCTCCTGCCAAGTGATTCTAGATTGTATGGAGTTGACAATTAAAGTCAATCATCACACAAATTTTTGAAAATGCTTAGTTTGCCATACCTTTTTGATTTCCTATATCCTTCTGTATGCCACCTGTATTGGCTCTATAATTTTTGAAAGAGTAATTTATCTTTGTTATTTATTAACTACATTATTAAAGAATTATAAATATATTTTAATATATTAAATGTTAATTTTTATGTAAAATGTTATACTAGTGTGAATAATTTAATATTTAAGACAAATTTGACAGAATTACTTAATATCTTAATTAATATGGCATGTATTATGTAGTCTATAAAATGGTAAAGAAAATTGTAGATTTGTGTCAGTTATAAGTATATACCCTAAACTCTACTTAGACGATATAATCCAGTTGGAAACATTCACTATTTTAAACTCTAGCTTTTAATTTTTTATACAAAGTAGATGGCTTGCGATTGAGGTAGTCAAAACAATGCAAGGAGTACCACTGTTTTCCTTAAAATTAATAGGCTTACTTAATATATCTTAGTTTTGAAACAATAATGTATAAGTAAATATGGCTTTACCACTTTTCATTTCAGCTGCTTTTACCAAGAGTCAGTTATCTGACGTTGGTAACTGATAAAGTGAAAAAGCACTTTCAGAAGGCTCTGAGACAGGAGGACGTCAGTGAGATATGGTTTGAGTACGAAGGCACACCCCTGAAATGGTGAGTGAAGTTTTCTTCATTGTTAGACAGCAAATATATGCTAGCTTTAAAAAGGTATACTGCCCTGGGTCGGTTGTAAAAAGTTCTACAAAGAAAGAAATGAAGCCAACATGGTAGCACACACCTGTAATCACTGATTCAGAGGCTGAAGCAGGAGATTACCACAATTTGAGGCTGCTCTGGTCGATATATCAAGTACCAGGAAAGCCAAGGCCATATAGCAGGACCTTCTCTCAAACAAAGCAAAACAGGAAAGACACAATTGAGTAGTCTAGCTTAGATGTGAAGGTTAAACCATTATACAATATTTTACAATGTTCTGCCTTGTCTAGCATCTTTCAAACCCTGGATTTAGTCTTTGACCCTTCAGAAACCAGGAGTGATGAGGCACACCTGTAATCCCAGATACCCTGAAGCAGGAGTTACAGGTTGTGAGCTACCCCATATAGGTGCTGGGAACTGATCTTGGGTCCTCTGCAACATCAACTTTGTTTTGTTAATTTTTTAGATGTATGAGTGTTTTGCTGCATGTATTTGTGTACCACATGTATGCCTGTTGTCCGCAGAGATCAGAACAGGGCATTAGATCCCATGGAACTAGAGTTTCAGATGGTTATGAGCCACCTTGTGGGTGTTGGAAATCGAACCTGTGTCTTCTGTAAGAACAACAAGTGGTTTATACTGCGGAGCCATCTTTCAAACGCCTAATGTGTGTCTTAACTGCTGAGCTAGCTCTCCAGTTCCACACCACCCTGGCTGTTATGAAAACAGTCCTAAATTTCAGTTTTTCCATGAGCAGATGAGGTTTTTGTATTTTCTGTTATTGAGAGTTTTATTTATTGTTCTTTCAAAGTATTTAAAGTAGTGAAGCTATGAGCCAAAAGCTATGAAATAGTTCAAGATAGCCCGGGTGCTGTATTAGAATACTCATGTGTGTGTAGTTGATTGCAGACAGATGCTGACTAAGATGACTAAATGGAACTTGAGAAATACAAATAGATTAAAATACTTGTTCTCAGTCTAGAAATATTAAAATGAAGAGGCTTAGAAAGAGAGTTAGGGGATTGGAGCTGGTTCAGCAGTTAAGAGCATTGGCTGTTCTTCCAGAGAGCCCAGCAACCACATGGCTCAAAACCCTCTATAGTGGGATCTGATGCCCTCTTCTGGCATAAAATTGTACATGCAGATAGAGCACTCACATCAAACAAACAAAAAATTTTTGAGAAGATAAAAGAAAGAGACTTAGGAAATAACAGAAAACTTCTTATGTGTAAATAACCTTATTGTGCAGATGACTTATATCTGGAAGGAGCAAACTTCTGCGATTCAGCTTATAAGGTTAATATGTTAATAAGATGTGTCTATTAGATATAACATCAATAATATTTGGACAATTTCTTCTTTACTGCAAAAGAGTGATTTGACTTGTGATTTGACTTAAATATACCATCTTCCTACATTTGACATTTATCCCTTGAGAAAGCCTCACACATCACTGGGGGCTGAACATCTCAGTCTTGAGCTTCCTAGGCAATTACTCTTCCACTCTGCTTCATTCTCAGCTCCCTGGAAAGTCTTTTTTTTTTTTTTTGCCTCCAAATAGGATCTTCCTCTGTAACCCAGGCCAGTGAGAGGCTCAATCTCTATTCCGGGCTGTGTCAAATCATGGCTGTTTCCTCCTGTGGTCTCTAAGCTATTGAGATACCAGGTGTGCTCTGGAATGCTTAGCAGGCAGGACCTGGGCATTGAGAGCTTCGGATCAGAGCCTTTTGTGCCATAACGGCTTACATTCTACTTAACATTTTCCCCTAGTCTTTTCTCTAATTTCCTAGTAACTTCTTAATTTGCCCAAATTACAATAAAAAACTATTTAAGAAAAGTAGTTGACACACTGAATCCCCAATAAGTTAATGATATAAGCCCAGCATGATGTCTCATGCCTTTAATTCCAGCACTCAGGAGGCAGAGGAAGGTGGATCTCTGTGAGTTTAAGGGCAGCCTGGTCTATACATAGTGAGTTCCAGGACAGTCAGAACTCTGTAGAAAGATCCAGACTCCAAAAGAAAAAATGTTATGGATGCACAGACAGATAGGTTCTAAGACACAGTCTCTTGTGGGCTACAAGTGCTTTGTCATGGGGCCCATTGCCAGCCCTAGTACATTGTGTTGCTAACTCTTAAAAATTATCTGAGAAACAGAAGTGTTCATGCACCTCAAAATCTTAAGACTTTTTGGAATGATTGGACTGGACAGTAGAGGGTGCTCCAACACTGTATGTTACTTAGTGAAGTTTCTTATTACTACTCCAGCTTAAGTACTCATCATTTGTATTTGATACTTTCATACTGTAACAGTTCAAGGCTTCTTTTGCAGTAAACCCTGTTAATGGTTAAAATCTGGCTGTGTTTCTTGTTTGGTAGGAGAATTCTTGCCTAGTCTATAAAAGGTCCTGGCTTTGATTCCCTACCACTGCAGAAAAAGATGGTAGAGAGAAGAAAGAAAAATTCATTAGAAATTAGATATTTGACCTTTGAGTGCACAATTACGAAAGGTCTTTTGTTTTGGTATTTTGGGATTTGGGATTCTTAAATGTTATGTAAACTATTTTCAGAGTGGACTATGGAAATAGGAAGTTAAAACTGACTTCTGAATTGAAAAACAAAGGAAATACTGCTGATCTTAAACTTGGATGGAGTACAATGCCTGAGCATCACATGCAATTTCAGAAGCACATTCCAGCAAGATGCCCAGTGCAGACTTTCATAATTCTCTTTAGAATGTAGGATGCTCTTCAGTCTGTAAATACTGTGTACATTTTTCTCTTCTCTTCAGTCATTTTTGAGGTTTTTATCTTTTCTATTCATCTTTTTGTAAGGTTATGGATTTTAAAAATTATTTTGTAAAATGCTTTTTCAGGGCAAGGGTAGTACTGAACATCAGACTCAGGCTTTTGTAACTAGGCAAGTGAGTTAAATTACTTGGGTTTGCAGTTGGAGTTGCCATTGTTTTACTCAATGAAAAATAACTTGTGAATATTCTGTGTGGTGATTTTTCTGGGCAAGAAGATGCATTTCCGTGAAATGACCTGGGCAGTAGTACTCCAGTAATGGATCACCCTTTTTTTGTTTTGGTTTTTTAATTATTATTATTATTTCATGTCTGTGTGTCTGGTGTGTAGGGATTGTTCAATGGAGTGCTTGTGGAGGATAGAGGATGATTTTTTTGGGAGTCTGTTCTCAGTTTAGGATCAGCAGGTTGAATTAAGTAGATAGGCTTGCTTGAACCACCTTTCTAGCATTTTCTTTCTTTTTATTTATATCATCATCATCATCATCATCATCATCATCATCATCATCATCATATGCAGGGTTTCACATAGCCCAGGCTGGTGTGTCAAACTTGCTATGTTGCTGAGGTTGATCATTGAATTCTGGATCCTGCCTTTCCTTCCTGAATGCTGGGATTATAGACATGTGCAACCATGCCCAGAGGGCATGATGTTTTTTGTTAAGGGTATTCTGAATCGGTATTAACATGCTTCATAGTTAAAAGGCTGGATATTTACATACATATGTAATATTCAGTGAAATTATCATAAAACGGGATTTGCATGCTCTTTAGGTATGTATCTTTACACTTAGAAATTTATAAATCTTGAAAATAAAAAGCAGGGCCTGGAGAGATGGCTTATTGATTGAGAACACTGGCTGCTGTTCTAGAGAACTCAGGTTTGATTTCCTGTACCACACAGTGGCTCACAACTGTCTACAATCCAGTCTCAAGAGTTCTGACCCCCCTTTCTGACCTTTGAGGACACTACATGCATATACTTGGAGACAAAGCACCCATGCAACATAAAACTAAATAAATATAAGTTTATTTACTTAGCCAGGCGGTAGGGGCACACACCTTTAGTCCCAGCAGAGGCAGGTGGACCTCTGTGAGTCCGAGGCCAGTCTAGTATACCGAGTGAGTTCCCGGACAGCCTCCAAAAAAAAAAAAGTTTATGTACTTATTTTAGTTTTAAAAAGAAAAAGATGAAAGTGTCTTTAGCAACACATGCTCTTGATGCACCTGGACCAGGAGTTCAAGGCCAGTCTGGGCTACATGAGATACTATCTCAAAAACAGAACAAAACAGTTGCAGTAAAAAGCCAGATGTGATTGTGTACATCTATAATCCCAGCATCCTCCAGGAGGTGGCGGTAGAAGGATTGATTTTGCTATGTGTTTAGGCCAGTCTGGTTAAGATAGTAGCAGGTCAGCCAGAGGTGCGTAATGGGTTCCTCTCAAGAACAAACAAGATATTTTAGTATTTTAATTAACTTACAAAGAATGGTTTCCTCTTATCAGTACCAGATGATAATCAACACTACACTATAGCACTGATGAGAATCCCCTAGAGTATATTAGGCTCTTGTGGGAAACGTAAAGAAGAAAACAGCTAGCAGCTGGATGGAGCACATGTATTAACCCAGGCATGCAGCTGTGCAAAGTTACTTTCCTGTGAGTAACCAGTAAAGCCTATGACAGTGGGTGGTAAAATGTACTGGAAATTTGTTTGGGGTTCTAGTTATAAATTTATGTATTTTCTCTCTTTAAGATATACCTTTCATTTTTAGGCATTATCCAATTGGTTTACTATTTGATCTTCTTGCCTCAAGTTCAGCCCTTCCTTGGAACATCACAGTACATTTCAAGGTATAGTTTAAATAGCAATTCCTATTTGTTTAATTTGTGGTTCCTAATAGTGTAGAGTTTTTTCAAATGAATTTTTTTATTGTTTCTATTATTTTGTTTGTTTCTAAGACATGGTCTCACTCTGTAGCCCATGCTGGCAAGGAACTTACTGTGTGGTCTAGGTTAGCCTCAAATTCAAAGTAGATCTCCTGCTCAGCCAGCTTAGTGCTGGAATCGCAGGCCTGTGCCTCCACAGCTGACTAATCGCCCACTGCAGGACAGTCACTGACTCCCTAGCTCTCCACTGCTGTTCTGTTTGCTCTGAGATACTCTTCAGTTTCTTCCAAATTTTTGGCAAAACCATTTAATATATACATATCTTTTCCTTTTTAGAGTTGAGTAAACCATGTTTTAGATTTACAACAGGTTATAGAGCTTGTTATATATAACATACATATAATATACAGAGTTATATTTCTAAGTTTATATAAAAATTAAATTCTCAGGTATAGAAGTGGCATGAGAGTAGCGATTAGAACAACTTAGTACTGTTGAAAAAGTTTCATAGCTACTTTCACAGAAGTCCAAAGATTTGGTGAGCCTGTTTTGAAACTTTCGTTCCTGTGGTTTTTGAAGCCAGGTCAATTTAATGTTGCCTGATTTGTAAAATATTGGTCATAGATGAGCATAGCAATGCACTGAGTGACCCTTGTGCTCAGGAGGTAGAGACAGAAAGGTTTTGAGTTCAAGCTCAGCTAGGGCTTGGGCTACATAAGGAGTTTGAGTCCAACTTTGACTATATCATAAAACCCTTAAGAAATAAAAATAACATACTGGTCTCCTCCCTCTTTACTTATGTAGTACCCCTCCTACTTCCAATTCATGAACGACTTTATAGGCTTCTGAAGAACATCTTGAGTTATCCCTAGCAAGAGGCTGTCAAATGGCAGTGGACGGTGGGGAAGCATAAGAGAGTCGTTATGTAAGGGCTGCTTATTCAGTCATCTCCTAAACACCACTCTCCATTCTTCTTATGATGCTTTTTCTTCATGCCTGTGCATCTATAGTAAGGTGCTTTGCAAAATAGTGTGTTACTGTAGATCTTACTTATCTCAGAACTGTACAGGTAAACCCTCAGTCCTAATATGCGTGAGTTTCAGTTGCCATAATGTATATGGAATGGGCTTCATATTCATATAACAATTGCAGTTTTCAGTGTCATGAAAATGAAACTACTTCAAACAGATATAGAGGATCAGTGTTGCTCAACAAGCCTTTCCTTTTAGTTTTTGAAATAAAAAATAGGTCTAGTAACTGGATGAAATTTTAAGTTTACTCTAATTTATTTAATCCAATGGTCTGGAAAGTTCATAGCCACCACCATTCCAGTGCACACTCTCATGTGCATATAGGCCATGGTGGATTTTGGTGCAGTTGTTATTGTAATCTCCTTGTAAAATCAGAAGAGGGTATGGGTTCCTTAGAGCCGAAGTTGTAGGATTCTGTGAGCTGTGTGGTGTGGTTGCTGAAATCTGATCTCTGGTCCTCTGACACTGCTCCTAACTGCTGAGCCATCCCTCCAGCCTGTAAGTCGGTTTCAGTCTCAGCAAACTGACCTGGGCTGCTCAACATGATATAAGTTTGGCACACACAGCACCAGCTTTTACAGCCATCATAGGTTTTGTTGTTGTTCCTTGTTGGTTTCCTTTCCATCCATTGTTCTAGTAAGTTTTATGTTGGCTCCGTAGCCACCTCAGTGGTTCTCATCAGCTTCACAGTCACTGCAGCCGTGTTCCTACACACACAGCCCTACAGTCCCTGCTTAGAGGCCTCTGCCTTCCTTCTTCCCTTTATGTTGTCTGAATGCCCCCATGGCTTGTTCAGCAACTGAAAGAAAGGCCTTAGTGGTGTCACCCAGGTACCTAGGTTGTTTAATTGTGTGTGAACATACACCAATTTTTTCTGAATTCTTAGTTAAAATATTACTATTAATTCAGTAAATACTGAGATCCTGCTGTGTGCTAGCCCAACACCGTTCTAGGAGTTTGGGATTTATGCTCAAAGGACACAAAGACACTCAAACACTGAAGACATTTCCCAAGCTGTTTTAGAACCTGCATAACTGATCCCAATACAATTAAGGAAATTGAAAGTAGATTACAGATCAATATCCTTTATGAACATGGATGTAAAAATCTTCAATAAAAGATTAGTAAGTTGAACCCAGCAGTGCCTAGAAAAAGCACAATACAGACTATGCTGAGTTTATCTCACAAATACAAGATTGATTCAAAACTCAGTTATCAGTCAGTATAATTTATTACAATGGCAAAATAAAATAGAAAAGTCACACAGCAAAATCAATAAACACAGAAAAAAATGGACAGAGTTCAATAACCAGTGCCATCAAAACCCTTAGCAAGCTTAGGAATAAAAGAAAATTTACTCAGTTTGACCAAGGGCATAGCAAAAATCATCCTAAGTGATATTTTAAAAATGATTAGATTTACTTTATTTTATGTGTATGAATATTTTGCCTGAATGAATGTATATGTGCCATATGTGTGCTTATTACCTGTGGAGGCCAGAAGAAGAGGTGTCTATCTTTTGGAACTAGACTTACAGGTGGTTGTGAGCTGCCATTGGGTGCTGAGAACCTAACCTTGGGATCACTGCAAGAGCAGCAAGTGCTCATAACCACTGAGCCTTCTCTGCAGACCCCTACATGATAGATTTGAGTCAGGAAGAAAACAAGGATGTCTGACCCTTCCATTCATATAAGCAGTTCTTCTGTAATCCAACATATTTTCCTTAAAACAAAACAAAAAAAAATGGCTTTTTAAGATTGTGTAGTTAAAAACCACAGGGACAAGTTTAAAAGCTTTGATGATGTAGCTAACAAGATAGGAATGTCATAATCCACAGCACAGTTTTACAGGGACAACTGGCTAAGAGGTATGCAAATACTGTACTAAGGATGGCATTTCAAGTTGAAAAAGACTAAAAGTTTGCTTGTGGAGATAGGTGACACATGCCAGCTGTGAAGCTGTGGAAAGGCTATTTGGAATCAGAAGTTGTAGTGGCTGGTGTTTGTGACTGTGACTGCTAACGTCAAGTGTTTCCAATGTGGAGGCTTCAGACTTTCTGCATTCTACTCAGATCTGTCTAGCTGGTACAGATTGGAGTGCACCTGCTGCTTCTCGTGGGCAATATTTGTATAAGTACACACAGAATCCACATTATACTTAGCCTCTTACCTCAGTTGCTTTGGAACAAATGCAAAAGATTAGAACAGAAAGTTTGCAGAGCATATGAAATTACCAATAAATACATGAAAAGGTGCCTACCATGTTTAGTCATCAGGGAAATGTAAATGAAAACCAGAGAGAGATATTACTTTACACTCACTAGAATGACTAAAATGAAAAAGGACTGATAAAAAGTTTAACATGAGTACCCAGAACTGTGAAATGTTGCTGATGAGAGTTTAAAACTGAATGTCACTTCAAGAAAATAGTTTGCCAGCTTTTAGAAGACTTTAATTGCTGTTTGCAGCTGTATATTTAGAAACTTGAAAAAGGTGTCTACTCAGACACTTGAATATTACTGTTCACAATGGCTTTATTAACCAGGTCAAGGTTGGAAATAATGGTGGTAACAACAGGTTTTCAGGATTAAACACATAATGATATATTCATTCACTACAACTAAGTAACAAAAGGAGTCAGTTCAAGAGTATGCTAAGTCAATGGAACACTATTTCATGTGAGATTTTACTATAGGCAAAACTGCTGCAACAGATCATATCAGTGACTGGTGGAGGTAGGAAAAAGAGAGCCTGCTGCCCAGGACACAAAGTAACTTGTGGTAAACTTTTAGTGGAGAATGAGGCTGGAGGGAGGGGTTGTGGTTAACTTTTGGTGAGGAATGAGGGGATGTGATTGTTTATGTGTTGTAATGTTCTCTATCTTGTTTGGTTGGTAGTTGTTCAAAGTCAGAATTCATCTAACTGAAACTTCCTAAGTTTCATTGTGTGTGAACTGCATCTTAGTAATTTGGCTTATTTAAGAAAGAGTTACTGATAGTTGAGGTCATTACCTCTGTTTTATGGACTTCAGAGTACTGTTACCTGTGAACATGTTAACAGCCATTGTAATATTGCCAGTATAACTACAACAGAATCCAGAGTAGGGCCAGAGTGAGCTTAACCTTGGCTTGGGAGAAAGGGAAAGTTTTCCTGGATGGTGTGCCATAGAAGCTGAACCTGAAGTTGAGGAGTCTTTGACCAAATGTATAAGTAGTTAGGCAAGGAGAAGGGAATGTTCTAGGTAGAGGAAAAGAGTGCTGCAAGAGTTGATGTGAAGACAGAGATGAGAGAGTGTTGCTGGAAGAACGGAACGCGCGTTGAGGATTGGAGCTACTCAAGTGCTTGAAGCAGTGAGGTGATGTGTGCAGGGAATAGATAGGGTAGGAGGGTTAGGTGGGTAAGTAAGCAGACCCTGAGGTAATTTAGAATCTTGATGGTTTGATTATGTCCTAAAAGAAGAAAAAGTTGAGGGAGAAGTGTAGGTCTTGGTGTTTGGAAGGTCACTGTGACTCTAAATGCAAAAACATCAAGAGTATAAAATTCTAGGCATGTGTCCTTGGTAGCTTAAACTATCAATTTGACACAGCCTGGAGTCACCTGAGAAGACGCCTCAATTGAAGAATTTGCCCAGATCAGAATGGACTGTGTGCAATTATGTTGGGGATTACCTTGATTGTTAACTAACATTGGAGGGGTCAGTCCCTGTGGGTGGCACCATACCTTGGGCAGGAAGTCCTCGACTGTATAAGAAAGCTGGCTGAGGATAAGCCTCCCAGTTAATGAGCCCACAACCATCATTCCTCATGGTTCCAGCTTCAAGTTCTTGTTTGAATTTCTACTCTGACTTTGCTCATTGATGGTTTGTTACCTAGAAGTGGGAACAGATAAGTCCTTACCTCCCTTGTAAACTTGTTTGGTCAATGTTTTATCACAGAAACAGAACACACTGCATGGGTGTTGTTGCAAGGTTTTTCAGAACTGTGAACAGTTCTTAGCCATTCTTAGCCTGGGGTGTTGCAAGCTGGGAAATTCCAGATCTATTTAGGATATAAAGTATCAGACTAGGTTTGCTCTGGAAAATTCGGAGGGGTGGTGGTAGCATTAGTTTGTTTATCTTTGGATTTGTTGAGTTGCTTATATCTCTAGGACACTTACTAGACTTGTGTGGGCTGAAGGTTCTAGGAAGGATCCTGGCAAGAAAGAATATTGATAATCTTTAGTTCCTAAGTGGTATGGAAATATGTAATCTCACTCAAGGTGAGGATATGGAATGAAAAAGAAAAGGGGTTCTAGGTTATGTACTTTAAACACAATCCACACCAATATTTAAGAATAGCTTTGGAAAAGCAAATAGTGTAGAGAAGGAAGAAAATGGGAAGTGTTGATAGCAGAAACTTGTGTTAGATTTTGGTGAATTCTTACAACAGCAATTTGAAAGATGTTTCTGTGACTAGCCCAAATGGTTAACTGATGGCAGGGAATTGATAAGAACTAAAAGGCCTGGGTGTGAATGTGTGGGGATGCACTTTGAGAGTTGAAGCCAAAGAGAAGCTGGGGATAAGGCTTGTGCTTGGCTCTGGGTAGTGTTTTCAATGGGAAGAATATATGTTAAACAGTACACCAAGGGAGAAATGAGCAAAGCTACTCTTATGGGAGAATCTAAAGATTCAACAAATAGAACCTAGGAGACACAATGAGAAATAAATACCCTATAGGTTGTAGGAAGGAGGACTGATAATTGGCTGTAGCTAAGCTTGTAGGTTACACATTGGTAGAAATACAATTTTTAAAAAATTGAGAAATGTTAGCATTATTTGGTGTCTGGTACACTTATTTTAGCATTGGTTTGTTTTTCCTTTTTTTTTTTTTTTATTTTAAGACAGGGTCTTACAGTTTTGGCTGGTCCCCGAACTGCACATGATTTTGATGCATGTCTTCAAATGATGGATTTTGTGGAATGTGCTACCACATTTGGCATTTAACTTCTGTCAGCTTTAGAATTATGGGTAGGGAGGGCACAGAAGGAGGTGGACTGTGAATCTGTAACCCATGCAGGCCTCAAATTTGTGTCCCTCTGGCCTCCACCTCCTGACTCTGGGAATATAGCAGGCACAGGATTGTTTTTCCCAATATGTTCTTTCTTTTCTTGAAAAATAATATATTAGAAGAAATATCTGGGGGGCTGGAATACCCTCCCTTCCCAACTTTTTGTGTGTGTGCACCAAAGTAATCTTGGGAAACTTTTTTAAGGATTTTTTAAAATTTAAATTTAAATTAGAAACAGGGTTGCTTCACCTGTCAATTCCAGGTCCCTCTCCCTTTCCCTCCCCTCCTCCCACACCCTCCCACCAACCCCTCTAATATCCCCTCATTCCCCCAGGGAAGGGGAGGCCCTCCATGGGGGTGTCCATAGTCTGTCATTTCATCCAGGGCAGGGCCTAGACCCTCCCCCGAGAGTCCAGGGTGAGAGAGCATCTCTCATTGTTGGATGGGCACCCAAAATCCATTTGTATACCCGGGATAAATACTGATCTACTACCCAAGGCCCAATAGATTACCTAGGCCTCCTCACTGACACCCACATTCAGGGGGTCTTTATCAGTCCCATGCTGGATTCCCAGCCATCAGTCTGGGATTCAAGAGCTAACCCTTGTCAGGTCAGCTGTTTCTGGGGGTTAAACCAGCCCAGTCTTAATCCCTTTGCTCATCAGTCCTCCCTCTCTGTCACAGGATTCCTTGAGTTCAAGTAAATTTATAAACTATGGCTTTATACTTTTCATTCCAAATGTGAGTCTAGTACTAGAGGTGAGTTGGTGATAAAACAGTGAAAGCTTATGTTTAATCAAATATTTGATTCCTTATGTATGAGATGAAAATGCATTTTAGAAATGTATTTTTTGATTTGCTTAATTGTTCTAATAAATTACCATCAGTTTTGTGGTATTTCCAATGGGCTCAGGTTTTTTTTCCCCTCATAAAGTAATGCTTTGATTTAATGTTATTAAATTACTTTTAATACATCTAGATACATTGCAGACAGTCGGTGAATATTCTAATTAAATAACAGTTATAATCTCTAGTGGGAGATAGGAGGATTTAGCTCAGTGATAGAACACAGAAAGTCCTGGGTTTGGTCCTTAGATTGTGGTGGGAAGTGTGTGTGCAAAATGACAAAAAAGACACCTCTAAGCAAACTGACACATAAAGGGAAATTTTCAGAGTATTCCTGTAAAAGCGAAGTAAAGTTTATTTTGTCATGCTTCTGATCTGAAAGATAGATGAGAGAGTAAACATTGCATCACACTCTTTATCTTTGAGAATTTGTTTAGATCAGAAAGATAAGCGTGTGTACACAATGGCTAATGCATACATACTGGGAAAAGTTAGAAATGTAATGAGTCAAGGATCTTTTGTAATTTCATTGTGAGGTTTGGAAAACAAATCTTTTTATTCTCACTTGGGTAGATGTGAAAGAGGTGCATTCACAGGTGGGAGCCAGGGGGCTGTGAGGAGGGACCTGTCACTTCTCTCAGCTGCTTTGACTGCATAAGCTCTCTCTTTTACATTACTGCCTCCCATTCCGTTTTTTCCTGAGTTCTTATCATGGAGGATTTCAGAACCTCCCTAGATTGAGGTGGGCCTTTTCTTTTTTTTTTTTAATTCATGTATCTTTATTTGTAAATATCCACTGCAAAGAGTTATTTGGTCTGGTTTGAGGCCTCTGGTTTCTCCTGTACTATCATTGTTGGGCCCTCACTGGGATTCCTCTTGTATATCTTCGTGTTACCCTGTGATCCTACAGTTTTGGGTCTGCAGGACCCGTACCTTTGCATGCTCCAGCAGATCTCAGATGGGGTGGATGTTGGAATGGGCCAACTCATAACCCTGGTTCTGGGCCTGGGTAGTTGCAGGGTTGTCAGCCCACCAGCTGTCCCCTATCCTCACCACCAGGGTGAGCCCTCCTGCCTTGCCCTGGCTCATTCACCCCTTGCTGCAATGAGCAAGGGGCAGGGCCAGTCCTCCTGTTTTCTTGCTCTCCCACACCTGTACCTTCAAAGGACTGTGTTGTCCAGGTGTGGCATTAGGGGCTACTCTCCCAAGTGCTGTGCTGATAAGGGACAGGGACAGCTCTCCTGCTCTTAAGACATCAGGCCAGCTCTTGTACCTGCCTCAGGAGTTGATGGGGGGGAGGGCAGAATCTCTCCCCCTGCCCATGCTGCCACAGAACAATGAGTGATGGGGACACCTCTCCCATGCTCACAGCTTTGGGGCTGGCTCACCCACATCACAAGTGGGGTTGGCTCTGTTGTGCTGCCCAGGTGAGGTGCAGGGCCTGCTCTCCCACCCACCTCAGACATTGATGGGGGAAGGCATCTTTCCTCAGCCCATGGCCATCATATGGCAGATGAGGGGTGGGGCCAGCTTGAGGTGGGCCTTTCTTTGAAGATAGGTGTAGAGGAATGTCAGTGTCCTCTTTTAGATCCCTCTGACTCCAAGGGCCACTCATTCACAAATGGATATTGGTATCAGTTATAGGGGTCATATATGTGTTATGCATAGGAACCTGAAAAAGACCTCACAGATGAGGATTATTTGGGAATAGTACAGATTGTGTCAGACTAGTAATGCTTTTTAAGTTAATTTTTAAAAAGTATTTTTAGTTACTGTGATAATAAAATATGGTATGCTGGGAACATCGGCAAATGGGCTAAGTTCTCTTTAGAAGCTCATTTGTCTCTGCATCCATGTTCTGTGTGTTTCCCTTTGATAGAGTTTTCCAGAAAAGGACCTTCTACACTGTCCATCCAAGGATGCAGTCGAAGCCCATTTTATGTCATGTATGAAAGAAGCTGACGCTCTAAAGCACAAAAGTCAAGTCATCAATGAGATGCAGAAAAAAGACCACAAGCAACTCTGGATGGGACTGCAGAATGGTAACTACATAGCCTGACTTCTGGGTGCTGCGGGCAGTAGCAGTGTAAGCTAGCTCTGGCCTCCAGGCCCATGTCTTGCATTTCATCTTGCTGGTATTGCTGTGTTCCTGGATCATCTCACAGGCCCATCCTTAGCCCATGATTTGAGACAGCATAAACCTTAAGTTCTTCTTCTGAAAAAAGAGTATGGTCCTCATTCCGTAGGTGTGGCCCTTTCTGATCATAGTTGGGAACTGCATGTGTCCTGAAGGGTCTCTGCTCAGATGAGGGCTGCTGCTCCAGCCTCTTCTTTCTCACAGTGGTAGATTGTTTCTGTGCACGAGTGCTCTCTTGCCTTGCTGTGATAGAAACTCCTCCTCCTGAGGATCTAGCTTGGTTGTTAAAGTGTTTGCCTATCACTCAGAAGCCCTGCTTTATCCTCAGCCCAAGCAGGCGTGCTGGTGCATGTACGTAGGAGGTGGAGGCAAGGGGATCAGAAGGGGGAGGTCATCAGCTGCACAGCAAGTTCTAAGCCAGCCTGGAGTACATGAGAGGGGGAGGGGGAGGAACAGAGGGGAAAGAGAGAGGGCTGATGAGGCAAGTGGAGTGAGAGAACAAATACTCCTGATGGAAAATGAGGTCATGTGCATTCCTATCTCTGGGAGACCTGTGGCTTCTTACTCCTGCGTGCATTGTTTGCCTTCTAATACACACAGAAATGTGATTTTAAAGTTCTGGCTTCTTGGGGTCCATTGTGCATGGCTAAGTAATACCTAGTTCTTAATTAAATTGCTCAAATTATAGCTACTGTGGCATATTACCATAAGTAATTAAGTGCAGTAGAATTTTATTGCTTGTTTTTTAAAAGTGTGTGTGTGTGCGCGCGTGCGCACGTGCACATGCCATCTATGTACATGCATTCACGTGTGTGTTGTGGAGGTCAAAGGAACGTGTCAGATCCCAGGAGCTGAAGTTATCAGCAGTTGGGAACTGCTGGGAACTGAGTTGTGGGTGCTGGGTATGAGCTTGGGTCCTTTGAAGTATCGCTCCAGCCTCTACTGCTAGCATGGTATGGACAGCATTCCATCTTGTGTCTACTGATTAATCGCTAAGCATTTGCCATTCTCGACACAAACAGCAAGACATGTGGGGCTGTAGCTTCCTTGTGTACTTTTAGTTGTTGAGTCCACTTAACATTTATGGATGGGGATAAAAGGGTATGGTCCAGAAACTGAAAGTGTAGAAGACAATGAGGACTGTTGACATGCAGCAGAAAAAAACATGTGCAGGTGAACTCATTAACGTAAGTGGAGATAGCAGACAAGATCCCAGGTTAAGTGAGCCTCTTGGTGTCATAGAAAAACAACTCTCAGAGGTATGCAGGAAATAAAAATGCAAATATGAAATATTTATGCTCATTACACAAATATTTTGGTTAGGTAGATATAGCAAAGATGGTTTCTCCTAACTTTGTTATGTTTTTCAAAGAAATTAAATTGTGTTGGGGTGTGTGTGCCAGGTGGCTGCTTGCCCCCTCATGCTTCTGCAGAGGCCAAAGGCTGACTTTGGCTATTGTTTCTGTTGCTTTTCATCTCACTTGCTCAGATAGGGCCTCACTGAATTTAGAGCTCTCCATTTTAGGCACATTGGCTGACTGGCAAGCCTTAGGAGCTGTCTGTCTTTGTGTCCTTAACAATGGAGTTGTAGGCATACATTGTGGGTGCCAGGAGCAGAACTCAGATCCTCATTCTTACATAGCAAGTACCAGAGAGCCATCTCCTGAATAGTTTTTCTCTTCCTCCCTCCCTCCCTCCCTTCCTTCTCACTGTCCTAAATGCATTTTGTGTTTTAAATTCCTTTTAGTTTTGCTGTATATGAAATAATAACAAATAGAATCTCTAATGTTTTGATGCGAAAGTTAGACAAATCATACAATAATGCCATCATGCTCCACCTCCATCCCAGATTGAATCTCTATATAGCCCCGGTCAGCCTTAAACTCATGGCCTTCCTACCTCTACCTCCTAAATGCCCAGATTACAGATGCAGGTGCTATGCCAGCCTTCCCTGTTACTAACATTACATCTTTTGAGCCATGTGTCACTTTTCCAATGCACATGGGCCATTATGACAGTCGCTTGTATTTATCTTTGTGTTTGCCCTTGTCTAAGAAGACATCCGGTATAAGTTCTTTCTCAGTGACACTGAACTGTTGCCCAGTCAGAGTGTGACTGTTTGGTATTTACTGAACTTTATGCAGAGTCAGCGACCTCAGCGTGTAAGGCACATATTTTATGATGTATATGATAATCACATTTCTCATTCTTCTGTTAGATTTGCATTTGATCTGGGTGACATGGAATTGTTCCATAGTTTCATATTTATACATCTGGAATTTTTCAAAACCTGGCAAGCACCACACATTTTTCCCTTCAAAAATTGTTATTCAAATAATTAAAATGTTTTGTAACCTAAAGAAAGTACACTGCGTGCTCAGTTGTGGTTAAATCCAGCACTTAGAAGAGGTGGAGACCTGTCACAAAGATGCTGGGGCTCATACAGAGAGAAGATATTTAAGAAAACGTTGACTTCAAGTCATCTTAGAACTTGAGGATGGATATAGGAAGACCAGGAGTTCAGGACTATCCTAGCTACATAGCTAAATTTCAAGCTAGATTGGACTACATAAGGTCTTGTTTCAATACCACAATCACTACCCACACTATTACACACATAAACACACACACACACACACACACACACACACAGTTGTGGAGTCAAGAAGCCTGACAACCAAAGCTCATTCCCTAAAGCGTGCGCGCACACACACACACACACACACACACACACACACACACACACACACACACACACACACACATGTGGGCTCGCCACCCCTTCCCCCCACACACACGCGTGTAGAGGAAGGAGAGAACCAACTCATGTAATTGTCCTCTGCTCTTCACATGAATGTCAGGATACACACACAGATAGTTGTAAATTGCACCTTAAAATGCTTAAAGTTAACTATGGCATGTTTGTGAAGATGGGTGCTTCATTGTTCTTTCTCTCTTTTTCTGAATGATTAACTTCTCATGTCTTTATACTTTGTCCATCACCCTTTGTGTGAAGCCTTCTATTTGTAGAGTTAACAATGTGTATCTAACTTGTATTGTCATTGTGTCGGAAGGTGTGATCCTCAAGCACCTGGGGACAAGACAGCCAGGCAGGGCTGTGACACTGCATGTTCTGAAACACTGCCATTCAGATGCATTTCTGTTCTTGAGTGTCACTGCACTGGTATGTTTTCTATATTGCACTATGTCATACCTGTGATTAGTGTATATCTTATATTTCTAATCCCCAAAACATAGTGTGATCTTAGAGAGTAAAAATGTTTTGAATTACTTTTTTTTCACATGATCAGGAAGTGATATTAAAGTGTTTTGTAACTAGTATAATAGTCTCTATATTTTTATATTTAAGGGTTTGTTGTTGTTGTTGTTGTTCTTTGACCCAAAGGCAAGGTCCTGATTATTTGTGAAGTCATAGACTTGTCGCCTTTTTGTCAGCGTGGTTGTAAATTTTTCCAGATTCTGACAAAGCAAGTGGTCTGTTTGTTCCATTCAGAGCTGCACCTGGAGAGCACCAAAGTTAAGCACAAGTTTCAACGATTTTTGAATACTTTCAAATGCTAATTTTAATTTTGAAGCCCTCTGAAGGAGAAATAAGAAAAGCTTTTGAAACCAAGAAAACTCATTTAAGGCATAATGTGCCTTTCGGTTTTTTTATAGGCTTTCATTTTAGATAGGATGTGCCACCTCTCTGAAGCAGAGCTAATGGTCACAAACAGAAAGAAAGTAGCATTTTTATTTATGAAGTAGTTGTCAGTCCCTGCAAAGGTTTTCTGTTCAATGTCAAATTGTGTGGGAGATTTGAGGAAGTTACTAAAAGATAACAAGAATAATATAAGACTCAGCTTTTAACAAGTCTTCCCTGAGTACATCTATTGTATCTATTTGGATTTTTGAAGCAGGGTTTCATGTAGTTCAAACTAGACAACCTTTTCATACCCCTCCTCACCTTCCAGGTGATGGGATTATAGGTGTGCATTACCACACTCAGACTGAGTCAGCAGTTTTAAAAAAGAAAATGATAAGAAGTTCCATACACTTACATAAAAGTGAGATTTGACTGGTAAATATGATTAAAATTTCCACTGCTTATAAAGTGTTAGACTTTTTAATTAATTTATGGCACACACACACACACACACACACACACACACACACACACACACACACACACCCTCCCTCTACCTCTGTACTGTTTTCTCCCTTTTTAAGACATGGTTGCAGTATGGTCTGGCTTCAACTTGGGATCCTTCTGCCTCAGTCTCTTGAATGCTGGGATTGTGTCCATATACCAACACACTCAGTCCCAGTTTGCGATTTTTAACATAAAACTGATTTTAGGAGGAAATAGACAGGGCTGGAAAGATGGCTCAGCAGTTAAGAGCACTTTTTGCTCTTCTGAGGACTCAGGCTCAATTCCCAGCACCCACATGGCAGCTCACCGTCTGTAACTCCAGTTCCAAAGTCTCTGGCACCCTCACACAGAACACCAGTGCACATAAAATAAAAATAGTGTGAGGCATATTAGAGACTGATGATAGAGAGATGGTATATTAAAGGCTTATGTGCTAGAGACAGATGTTTTATGTTTTCATCTTGCCGTTTTTGTTTGTCTGAACTGGACTGGGTCTATTCATTCCTGTTATGTAGTTCGTCTTTTACCTGTGAGTCAGTCAGATCACTTTCTCTCTGGAGTTCCTGTATGGATGCAAAGGCAGAATTCTAGCGACTGATTTTTCTTTTCTTTCCCCCATTGATTTGAAAACTGCCTGGATGAAGCAGAGAAAGGCCGTTTTAAATGAGTAAGATGTGAGGTTAGTAAGACCAAGGGGGTTGTAATGGAGTTAGAACTATAAAGTTTGAGGTCTAGGCATCAGAGGAGCTAGA